GAAGTAGACGACAACATGAGCTTTTGCTTCTTTTAGTCTGTTTTATTTTATTCTCTCATCTGACTTTTGCTTTTAAATCTGATTTAATAAATTGCATAATATATTCCCATCTTCTAATTTTGGCAGTCAGGGAGTGAAAGACAATTTTTGTGTCCTTTATTTGGTGACTAATAATTTGTTCAGATTTATTGATGTCTTTCTGCTCAGCAGATGTCCAGAGTCAGTGACCTCCCGTTGCAACTTGCTTTTTAAATATTTAGTTTATCAGAACCGGGAATATTTCCCACCATATCACAGATTTGTTTTTCAAGTTATTCTCTGCAGAGCCATGCCAAAGGGCAACACATCACGCTGAAGTTAAATATGTTTTGCTTTTTATAAAATTATTATTATTCATGTTTAATTCTCATCTGAAGCTGACAGTAATTAGTGATGAAAATTCCTAGAACTTTGAGCTGCTAGCATTTAATTCAGCTTTTACATGGAAACCTGTTATTTCACAGCTAAATCTTTACCATAAATGTTTTGTTTTTTTTATTTTTGCTTCCAGCTGCATTGCTGCCATGCAGGGAGTGTTGAATTGGGTCACAAACTGCAAACATGTTCAGAACTCCTGTTGTGTAAAAGCAAGCAGCAAACAGTTAATGGATGAAATGTGAAAAGAGCTAAACCTTTTTGTACGATGAGGTACTGAAATCTGCTTTGTCGCTTCTGAAACTTCTGTCTGCCAAAATGTGGCACTGATTGCCTTCCTTTCTTGTGATTGCTCAATAGGAAGCTTTTGGATGAAAGAGACGAGTGGCATCATCTGGATTCTGTGATTATATTTCTGTGAAATGACCCGTGGGGAGGTGCACTTTAAACAGCCAAATGATATAATTACACGCTACTGTTCATCAGACGTAATCTCAGCATACGGACAAAATCACTGAGCTAATTTTGTCAGATTTCATTTTCACACTATTTTTTCAGTACTCCTGATGTGATTTAAAACTAAACTTAAAAATAATTTTAATTATAAGCACTTTTTAACCCCTCCCCCTCCTCACAAAGAGAAAAATAATAATGTGATTTAAGAACTTAAAAAGTCCACATCAGGTCTGACCTCATTAATTCCAATCATTATTTAAATGAAAAACAAAGGATTAATCAAAGTGTGCAAAAACCAACTGTTGTAGAGAATAAATTATGTAGTTTATTTGACTAGAATACAAAATAAAAACACAAGTAATCATCCTATGCATTGTAATCGAAACTGCTTGTTCAGGAGTTTATTTATCAAACTTTATTCACTATATTAAATTTACAAAAACATTTTTATTTTATTTGAGATTTATAGTCTAAAGCAACCATAAATCTGGCTCCTGGCTCGAGCTGAGGGAAAACCAGGTACTGGAAGGCATTTTAGACTAAAATTGAATTTTTTTGGCCCCTTTCCCTGTTGATCAATACGTTTTGCTGCTGCTTTGTCAAATTGACCTAAAATAAAAGTTCAGAGTGTGCAGTTTTACTGAATAATGGACAAGTAAAATGCTAATTTCTTATTTGCATTGAACTGGCTTGGCTCTGGGGAAAGAGAGGACAGAAGCATTTTAGAGGCTTATTTGCAACTGTTTTGTTTAAGTAATATGAAACGGGAAATGATCGTGCATTTTTGATCCTCTAATTGAGTTTTAAGACAAAGAAAAGTCTTTGTGGTTTAGTTTATGAAACATATGCAGGTGGATGAGGAGTAGAAATGGCAACTAAATTTATGACAAAGCAGTCCCCCACAAAAAAATAAAAATAAAATAAAATGATTATTCAGGGGAAATTATGCAAAATGTACTTTTTTTAGCTTTATATTATGTTATGTAATTACTTCATCAAAACATACCCAGAGTGTTGCTTTGACTTATTCCTGCATGTTTGAGAAATCCTTGAGTCTCCTGCAGTAGCCATGTGGAGCTGCCTAAACGCTTGCTGGTATGAAGTTCCACCTATTTACCCAAAGCTCCTCCCTGGAGCTCAGTCTGCAGCTGAGCTCCCCCTCTACAGAGCGCCCCCTCCCCCGAAGCATTGTTGTGATGATGTGCTGAAGTGGGAGCGTCGAAAACGATAGGAGGTTCTTAAAGAGACAGAGGCTAATTTCAAGATGTTTAAACAGGCCACGATGCAAATTCAAATTTATTTTTTGATCTTTGCAGCATTTTCATAACAACTGAAAGTAACATAGCTAATTAATTGTGGTCTAGAATTGAACTATGTGCCTGGAAAATGCATATTACCACCCTTTGAACTATATAACTTAATTGTACTGGTCTGTCATCAAGAATTCAAGTCCTTAATTTAAAAAAGGGGAATACCAAGGCTTCACAATGACACCAACGATCATACAAAGAGATTTCTCAGCAGGCCGAGGAAAAATGGGCAGTTTCAAAGAAATTTTAAGGATAAGACAATTGATTATTTCTGAAGGAACCTGCTAGAAAATTTTGATTCAAAGGCAAATTAGGAAAATGAAATGCTGTTTTTTGTTGACGCTGAATGGTGTCTTTGTGGTGTCTTTACCATACCTGTAAAACCTGTTGTCAAATGTTTGCACTGTGGTTCACAGTTTGGCTTCAGATCTGCTAACTTCAGTGGTGGGCACCAGTCCACTAAAGCGTAAATCCGCTAATTGCGGACCTAAATATTTCTTTGTGCTTTAGCGGTCTTACAAATTTTTATAATTCGTACGCAGATTTGTGCTTTCTAAAATTAAAATGCAGTACCGCTAATAACTAATTATCTACCAGTCATCTTGAACAGCGGAAGGTATGGCCGTCAATGAATCACAACACACATGATCTGTCCAACAACACCTCTCCCAGATAAACACACTTATTGGAAATGTATACATCCTTGCTGACAGTTGCTCTCGGTCACGGTTCTCATTTCCCATAATGCTTTGTGTCTGCTTATGTAGCAGGAAGGCAATGTTTAGAACTCCCTTTCCCAGGAGGTACACTTCGCTGCAGCATGCAGAACGGGGCGGTGACAGACCTTTCCGTCAGTCCCATACCTTATATGGAAATGGGACTATTGCATTCCGGAAATGAAGGTTGCTCCTTAAAGACGCGGGATTAAGAGAGCAAAGGAAGAAGCAAGGAAGAAGTTAGAGAGTTTCTTCTACTCACATTCAAGTACTCAGAGCATTATTTATTAATTTCTTTTATCCACCTCCCCAAACACAGACCCTCAGGTTAACCTCACAGGTTTAATGCCTAAGGTTAACCTCACAGGCCTAATGCCTAAGGTTAGTTTGTCACTGTAATATAATATTAATATCCAAAAACAACAAAGATTTAATAAAGATTTGAAAATGAAAAAGAGACATACCACGTGACATAACACGTTGTGTAGCCATTTCCTTACTGTAAAATTTGTTTTTTTTATTAAACAACAAAGAACACACAAAATGATACAATGTACAAACAATAAGGCGTATTTCAAACAAACAAACAAACAAACTTGCATAAAAGAGAAAAAGGATGGGTGCAAATGAAGATAAGAAATTCCTTACTGTAAAATTTATATTGTTAATGTTGAAAGTGTTCGATAGAAAATAGTGTCACTAGCGCTCCCTTCATTTCCGGGATGCAATAGTCCCATTTCCATATAAGGTATGGGACTGACGGAAAGGTCTGTCACCGCCCCGTTCTGCATGCTGCAGCGAAGTGTACTTGTTTCCCAGCAAAAACAGTAAACGTTTGTAATCCATACTAAAATTTTGTATGTATTGATTTATTTTACTTTACAATCGGAGCTCCTTTTTAAAAAAATTTAAAGGCTGGAGCTCAATACTTGACATAATTGGTCGAAGCAATCCGCCAGCGGGGTTAGACAGACATCTAGTGGTCAACTGGAGCAACTACATGAAAAACATTTGTTTCCCATCACAAATCAAATCCGTCATGTACCCAGAATGCATCGCTTCAGTTTTCCAATTAACAGTTTTAAAATTGCTTTATTGATACTTCTTTAATGAAAAATCTACAACAAACAAAAGAAAAAGACAAAGAAACAGCCGAACTAGCAATCCTCAGCAATTTTGTTAATTTTTACACCAGGAGCTAAAGCTCTGTTTCAGGAAATCACATCCCCGGCATTCAGTGCTTGTAGGATTAAGCTGTAAAAGGATTCATACATCGCTAGTTGGCAGTGTTGTACATATATTGTACATGAATTAACTTCTGCTAATTTTTTCTATGGCATAAGTGTTTTTGAAGTTGTGGACCTAAATATTTTCATGAGTGCTTAAGAAATTGCGGAGC